ATGGGCTCAGGAGTACTTCAGAAAACCACTGTCATTTACCACAGTCTGCTGCTGCATCAAGAAATGCAACTTGAATATCTGTTACTCTAGGAGAAAGCTATACATCAGTTCTATGCAGCGATGCTGCCGGGTTCTCTGGGCCAGAGCTCATCTCAGTCAAAAAGACAGTGAAAATGTGTGCTTCCGGGAAAAATGGATTTCGAGTTCTCAGTCCCAAAGACCAAAGGGACCATCCAGACTTTCATTAGCGATAGAACCAAAAGCAAACATCTGTCATGGTATGGGGGTGCAGCAGAGCAAACAGCATGGGTGACTGGCATATTCAAGGTACTATTGACATGGAGGCATATATTGGGATTGTACAGAGATATATACTGCCATCAAGATGATGTCTTTCATGGGAAGCCCATGGTTATTAGATCAAGAAAATGCCAGCTCTCATTCTGCATGTGCTACAACAGCGTGGTTTCATACTGAGTAAATGTGCTAGATCTGACTCGTATTGAAAATGTATGACCAGTCGTGAAAAGGAGAATCAGACAACGACGATCACAGACTGCTGAGCTTCTGAAGCCTTGTTTCAAGAGAGACTGGACAAAGATTTTGCTTGCAAAACTTTAACAATTAGTATCCTCAATTCCCAAACAATTAAACATTGTAATTAAAAGGAAGGTTGATGTGACACAGTGTTAAACTTGCCTCTGTCCCAACATTTTTGGAATGCGTTGCAGCCATGAAAATCCAAATTTGTTCATATTTACAAAATACATTTACATTGGTCAGTGAAAACTTTGTAAATCTTTTCTTTGTACATTTTGTCAATTAAATAAAAGTTAAAGCAAATGAACAAATCACAGAATCTTGATTTTATTGCATTTTACAAAACGTCCCAACGTCTCTGGAATTGGGGTTGTATATATAGTTCTTGACAGGGTTTGTGAGATTGATCCACATGGCTTTGCGTTCAGTGAATGCAGTGATTTGGGTCAGTGAGTGCATAAGGAGACTAACACATCTTGAAAGTCAGATAACACTCGTTCTGGACCATAGAGAAGTTCAGGTTCCCCGTTTAGAAAATCTCTGGATCGATTTCGCTCTCTCTGAGTGGTAACTGGTGCAAAAAAAGTTGAAAGATACCAGAGACTTTCAAAAGACCATTTAGTCCATTTGGGTTGCAGTTTCTGTAAATTTACCATGATATATTGATTTCTGACAGTGTTTTTGGATGTTTGCTGCATTAGTTGTCCTTGAATTTCAACAAAACGTACTTTATATTGAGTTTTAGCCTTAAAGGCAGTTGGGGAAGAATAAAACCACATGCGAGTATTGAAGGAGATCTAGCGAGCTCTTTTCATTTCAGTATCCCTCCTTTGCGCATCTCTTTTTTTTTCTCCACTATCACATCTTAATGCTCATCTTCCTTTTTTGTATTTATTACAGCAGGGAGTTGGAAAACACTGTCGACTGGAAACTTTTTTAATACCACAGACTCAGCGGGAAGACACCGAAACCAACAGGCGCCGTCAAACTCCAGCATCAGCTGTCAATGAGACAGACAGCTAAACTAGCTGTTTGGTGGGAGGGAGGAGGGGAATGTCCCCTAAACCAGGAATCCATTACAAAAAGAGCCAGAGTTCTTGAGAGCAACAACATCACACACGCGACAACAGATGGAGATCAATTTCACAGACATTCTGCATTCATGCTCCCCACAAAACACTATTAACATGCAGTTTTTCTACACATTTTGGCACCTCATATGTAAATAGCCTCATCTTATTTCTGTCCTTCCTTTCTTCATGTCTGTTTGTGCTTTTGGAAAAATGTTTTTCATTTTATTTATATGCCAGTCGGAATCAGAAAGGTTGGCTATTTTTAATTACGTGTGCATATTTCTTCTGCTTGCACTTTCAAGACTGCAAGACATATTTACAGATGTAAATAAACTGATGACTTGTGAGACGTCTTTCTCCGTGTGTTTAAATGTTGCCCGCTAGGAATGCTAATATTTAGGCTAATTCTCCGCACCCTGTCTAATATCATCTTTACCTATAAGACAACAAGAGATTTATTCCACCAGTGTTAGATTTGTTGCTAAGAGGATTGAAGTAGCAGTTACTTGAAGGCACAGCTTGCTTTGAGGTCTGGATTTGAGAGAACATTCAGTCTAAAGCAACCTGTAGTAAGAAGCACTGCTATATTGCCTTAACTTCTATAGCCACAAGCGGCAATCACTGAGGTCCAAAACATTTAGAAGAAGAACACCACAGCTGCCTCATTTAAAAGAGCAGATCCACTGGATGCTGTCGAAACAGTTTGTGAAGTTGAACTTCCTTCAAGTAGGTCTGAATATTTTCTAAATGCATGTTATATATCTTATTCATCCATGCATACGTTTCCTCTTCTTTTTTCTTTTCTTTTCTTTTTTTAAATTGACCATCATAATTGGACCTTTTAGTTAAAACTACATACTTTTTCAGAGATGTATGACTTCAATCTTCAATTTAGTCTGCTTATAAAAACCTTAAATTATTTTGTGTTCCACAAAAGAAAAATCGTGAAAACTGGTTTCCACCACAGCAAAAAATACAAATAAAATAGTAATAATAATAAAAAGCTTGCAACTTTTTCTCACAATTCTTTTTTCTAAACTTTTTTGAGTTTATATCTCACAATTCAGACTTTTTTCTTTCACTTATAGAGAAAAAGTCACAAAAGCAAGATATGAACAATTATGAAAAGTCTGAATTGTGATATAATGCTTTTTTAGAATTGATTTTATATAACAATTCTGACTTTTTTCCTCATAATGTTTGCAATTCTAAAGAATTGTGAGGAAAAAGTCTGTAACAAAAGAAAAAATGTGAAATAAAAAAAAAAAGTCACAATTACATATGGGGTACAAAAATAGAACTAAATTTGAAACAATTCCCTTTAAAGTCCATTTAATTTTTTAAGAATATTTGTAAAAAAAAAAAAAAAAAGAATTAGGTGACATCTTTCTTCTGAGAACTGATTTTATATCACAATTCACAAAGAAATTATCTTGCGACTCTAAGTAGGGGTGTCCCCGACTAAGGGTTTTCATAGTCGAATCGGAATTTTCAAATCTTGCCGATATTTGACTGATATTGTTTCTTGGGGACTTCAATCATATTGATATGAGGAAGATCATGCCCAGATTCAAACAGCAGATCAAAGTGATGACTAGGTTGGATAAGATCTTGGACCAATGTTATTGTGTGTTTCCTGATGCTTTTCACTCTGTGTCTTGGGCTCCATTGGGGCAATCAGACCATAATTTGATTTATCTCATTCCTGTTTATGTAAATCTAAATATATTATACCAATTAAGAGAGTGGTCAAGGAATGGGCTGTGCAGGAAGTAGACATGCTAATGGCCTGGCTACCGATTGGTCTGTTTTTAAAGAGTCATGTTTTGATTTGTGGTTACCTCATATATAAGTTTTTTTGAGACGGTGTGTGTACCTTCTAAGGCTGTTACCATACATAACAATAATAAGCCATTGTTTAATAAGGAAATTAAAAAATGATGGAGGGAGAAGCACAAGGCATTTAAGAGTGGGGATAAAGAGCTTTGTAAAATTATCAAAGGTGACTTTGAAAAAGCTGTTAAAAAGGCAAAAGGAAATTATAAGTGTACGTTAGAAAACAAGTTGAAGATCAATGACACTTATGGTGTATGGAAAAGTCTAGAGCAGATCACAGGCTGTAAGATAAAATCTCAAGTCATCTCTAATGATATTACATTGCCTGATGAACTTAATGCGTTCTACAGTCGCTTTGAAAATACAATGGAGGGACAGGTTGGTCAGCCGACACGGCCCTCCTGGCCCTGTACTATGAGTCCTTCTTTTAAAATAGAGGAACTGAAGGACTTGAAGCCCCCAATACTTATGTCAGAGTCCTTTTTGTGGACTATAAATCGGCATTTAATACAATTATTCCAGTTAAACTTTTTGATAAGTTAAAGCAATTGGGGATTCAAGACTCCCTTGCTTTTTGGATTTTGGATTTTTTGCAGAACAGAACACAAGTAGTTAAAATTAATAATATACTTTCAAGTCTCAAAACAATTAGTGTGGGGGCCCCACAAGGATGTGTGCTGTCACCATTATTGTACTCTGTATACACTAATGATTGTGTTTCACATTGTAAATCAGTGCAAATTTTTAAGTTTGCAGATGATACTACATTGATTGGTTTAATAACAAATAATAACGAATCGGACTATAGAAGGGAGGTTTCTACACTGTTAATAAAAAAAAAAAGTCACAATTACATATGGGGTACAAAAATAGAACTAAATTTGAAACAATTCCCTTTAAAGTCCATTTAATTTTTTAAGAATATTTGTAAAAAAAAAAAAAAAAAGAATTAGGTGACATCTTTCTTCTGAGAACTGATTTTATATCACAATTCACAAAGAAATTATCTTGCGACTCTAAGTAGGGGTGTCCCCGACTAAGGGTTTTCATAGTCGAATCGGAATTTTCAAATCTTGCCGATATTTGACTGATATTGTTTCTTGGGGACTTCAATCATATTGATATGAGGAAGATCATGCCCAGATTCAAACAGCAGATCAAAGTGATGACTAGGTTGGATAAGATCTTGGACCAATGTTATTGTGTGTTTCCTGATGCTTTTCACTCTGTGTCTTGGGCTCCATTGGGGCAATCAGACCATAATTTGATTTATCTCATTCCTGTTTATGTAAATCTAAATATATTATACCAATTAAGAGAGTGGTCAAGGAATGGGCTGTGCAGGAAGTAGACATGCTAATGGCCTGGCTACCGATTGGTCTGTTTTTAAAGAGTCATGTTTTGATTTGTGGTTACCTCATATATAAGTTTTTTTGAGACGGTGTGTGTACCTTCTAAGGCTGTTACCATACATAACAATAATAAGCCATTGTTTAATAAGGAAATTAAAAAATGATGGAAGGAGAAGAACAAGGCATTTAAGAGTGGGGATAAAGAGCTTTATAAAATTATCAAAGGCGACTTTGAAAAAGCTGTTAAAAATGCAAAAGGATATTATAAGTGTACGTTAGAAAACAAGTTGAAGATCAATGACACTTATGGTGTATGGAAAAGTCTAGAGCAGATCACAGGCTGTAAGATAAAATCTCAAGTCATCTCTAATGATATTACATTGCCTGATGAACTTAATGCGTTCTACAGTCGCTTTGAAAATACAATGGAGGGACAGGTTGGTCAGCCGACACGGCCCTCCTGGCCCTGTACTATGAGTCCTTCTTTTAAAATAGAGGAACTGAAGGACTTGAAGCCCCCAATACTTATGTCAGAGTCCTTTTTGTGGACTATAAATCGGCATTTAATACAATTATTCCAGTTAAACTTTTTGATAAGTTAAAGCAATTGGGGATTCAACACTCCCTTGCTTTTTGGATATTGGATTTTTTGCAGAACAGAACACAAGTAGTTAAAATTAATAATATACTTTCTCGAATAATATACTTTTTCTTTGAAGTCTCAAGACAATCAGTGTGGGGGCCCCACAAGGATGTGTACTGTATTGTATTGCAAATTTTTAAGTTTGCAGATGATACTACATTGATTGGTTTAATAACAAAAAATAACGAATCGGACTATAGAAGGGAGGTTTCTACACTGTTTGAGTGGAGTTGCACTCATAATTTGAACTTGAATGTCCTAAAAACTAAGGAAATGGAGGACAAATGCTGTTTTGCCTTTGACTATTAATGGTCAGGACATTGAAAATGTTCAATGTTTTAAGTTTCTCGGGACTACTATCTCTGCAACGTTAAAGTGGGATAACAACCTAAGAGGCATTATTAAAAAATCTCATCAAAGGCTTTTTTTCTTAAGACCGCTTAAACAGTTTGGCGTATCTAAAGTTGGTATGTTACATTTTTATAGAGCTGTCATTGAAAGCGTGCTGACTTTCTCACTTATAGTGTGGTTTGGTAGCTCCACAGCTCAGCAGAGAAGTCAGATTAGTAACATAACTGGGGTTGCTTGTAAAATTATTGGTTGTGATCTTCCCACTATTGATGAGATCTATGTTTCACGTTTGCATTACCAAGAGTCAAGTCAGACATTCGACAGTCATAATTACGTTAACACACGGAAAATGTGTAACGGATGCCTCGCAGATACATACGGGGTAAATAATGTTTTATGTTTTGATTAAAAGATAGTTAACATTAAACGTCAGCGAAACCCTGTGCAGAACACGCAACACGTGCAGAAACAGGCCCGTAACCAGCTATGAGGCCACCGAGGTCCGGACCTCTGTGAATTTTTCATGTTCAAAAATAAAATTTGTTCTTTGAATAACTAATTTGCTGTTAAACTCCTCATATGAATGCCTGCATGACATGTATAATTCAGTTTAGACAGCTTGCAAGAATGTTTAGCGTCCCTGTTATGAAAATGATCGCTGCGAGATGCTGACGGAGTGAACAAGACTTGAGAGAGTTGTGAGTGAAGGCGCGGGCGCAGCCTTTTATAAGCGTTTTTGAACTTGTCTTTTCCACTTAATTTAACACTTTAGAAAGTTAATAAAGTAGGAAGTTGCAGTTTAGAATCAGCGATATCTTTATCTTATCTTATTTGCAAAAGATTGGAAATAATTTTGGTTTATTTTTATTTATTTGTTTGTGTTAGTATCAATATCTGGCAACACTGCATCGCCGGCACTTAAATTGAAAGCAATCAAAAAAAGCCCATGGACAGGTTTTTGCTGACAGGATACGAAATTCGGTAAGGGAAACGCAAAAATTATCACGATATTATCTGTCATAAACGTTATCAACACTGTCAAAAACAGTAGCATTTAACACTAGTACACACAGATCTGTAGAACAAGTAGGTTACAGAATTAAA